CATCTTTTGCTTGTAATAGTTGAAGTCCCTCTTCCTTGGTAGGCGACAGTCCTTGATGACATGTCCAGCCTTTCCACAATTGAAGCATTTGGGAGGGTCTTCAGCTGCAACAACTCTACTGGAAGAGTTCTGATCATTGTTCTTTATTTTGTAATTGGCAGAGGAGGTTCGCAGCTTGTTGGATGAGTTTCCCTTCTTAGAAAATTTCTTGTTGAACTGATTGGTGAGCAAAGCCATCTTTTTCTGCAGATCAGCCAACTCAGATTCAACATCCACTTCTTCTTCACTTTCTTCTTCTTCAGACTCCACCTTGACTGCCTTCTTCTTCTTCTGGACCTTAGATGAACTCTTTGGTTTGGCTTCTATCATGAGTGCTAAAGGGTTAGCAGAAAAACTTCCTTCCTTCTCAGCTGTGTCATTCACAAACTGTTGGAGATGCTCATGAAGTGTACAGAGATCCAGTTCATCCAAGTCCAAGTGTTGTCTCAGGTTCTTCACAGTTCTCTTCCACTCAGGGTGCAAGCTCGACAAGAAACGTATATTCATTTCCATGTTTGATTTCACAACCTTGATCTTCCTCATTTCGTTGATCAGTTGCACAAATCTGTTATATGTTTCATGGAGTGCCTCCCCTGGTGTAGCCTTGAACGCATCATAAGCTGTCAAGATGTTTGCTTTCTTAGTCTTCAGTCCAAGATCAGTCCCAATCATCAGCTTCTTCACTTCATCCCACATCTCTTTCGCAGTCTCCATGCTATCAATCAGAATATAGATGTCATTTGGGATTGCTTGTAGCAGGAATGTTTTTGCCATAAGATCAGCTTTGATTCTCTGTCTATCCTCTTCAGTGTATTCAGCCTTTGTCTTCAATCTTCGTTCCTGATTAACGGGTGGGTTGTTTGCATCAATGCCATTCACACTTGCCCAAATCTCAACAGGTCCTTGGGTGAGGGATTCCAGCATAGCGGAAGAGTTACCTTTACTTTTCAGAAAATTTAAGAATCTTGTTCTCCACATTTGGTATTCACCTCTCCTCAGAATTGGGGGCCTACTGTCATTACCAAGTGCTAGAGCATCCATCTTTGCTGTTTGATTTTGAAAAAGACCGTTCGAGTGTTTAGATCAGATAAAATTAAGTTTTTAAATGCAGAATGTCGAAAACCTAATTTTCAGGAATAAGTTCGAGAAGGGGGTTCGAGAACTTCTATCGAGAAGCAGTTTTCGATATTTGATATCGAAAACCTTGCTATAGAGAAGCTGGGTTCGAGAAGCTGCTTTCGAAAAATCAGTATCGAGAACTTAAGTTCGAAAACTTAGGTTCGAGAACTGAATATCGAGAAGCCGTATCAAGAACCTGCAAACGCGAAAACAAGATGTCTAGATATTTAATATCGAAAACTGAGTATCGAGAACAGAAGCTCGAGAACTCAATTCGAAAACTTATGTCGAGAAGTCAGTGTCGAAATCCTGCAAATCAAAAAATCAATTTTAAACAGATAAAACAGCTTTTCTGTGAAGTCCTTGATCTCGAGAAGCTTTTTGAGCAGTTTGTAGATTGAAAAATCTGCAGAAAACTCGAGAACCCTGCTTTTCGATATCTAAATATCGAGAACCTCAAATCTGAAAACTTATCAAATCAAAAATCTAAGAAATACTGCTTGCTCGTATTTGAGAGACGATTTCAGCAGTACATCTTTTACACTTTTTCGTTCAAAAATAAGATTACAACGATTAAAAGAGTAAAATGTCGAAAAGATGAAAACAAGGGACTTCGATAACTTTTTCTTCGGCGATCACACTCGAGCAGGCTCTAATACCAGTTGTTGGTCCCAGTTTATGCAGACTAACGATCAGCTAGATGGTATTCATCGATAAATAGAGAGAAGGAAGATCTGATAATGATAAAGCAATATCGAGAACTGAGAAATTCTTCTTCTATTATACCGAGAACTGTTTTGACAGCGTAAGGCTAGAGAATGTATTGATCGATATCGGTACCTGTACACAATGCGCATATTTATAGGCGCTGTACATGTTACCGATTTAGGTAAACCTTGAGATTTGGGCCAAGGCCTTTTTGGGCCTTATTCCCTTTAACCCATTTATTACATAATCATTACTAATCTAATACCATAGGTCCATAAATGGTATAACTAGTCTACTTTATTTAACAAGACATTACAGACAAACTTGACTCACAATAAAAGTTCTAACAAATTGACTTCATGGGGCCTTTCCCAAACTCTCAAGGTAACATCTACATCCTCCTTGCGGTGGATTACGTCTCCAAAGGGGTGGAAGCTAAAGCTACAAAAACTGATGATGCAAAGGTGGTTACAAATTTTCTCAAATCACACATATTTTCAAGGTTTGGGGTCCCTCAAATTTTAATAAGCGATCGAGGCACACATTTTTGTAATAAAATTGTGGGATCCCTACTAAAAAAAAATATGGTGTGACTCACAAGATCTCTACCGCTTACCACCCTCAAACCAATGGCCAAGCGGAAACCTCGAACAAGGAGTTGAAATCTATACTCCAGAAAACAGTGAACCCGAATCGGAAAGATTGGAGTATACGCATTGATGATGCGTTATGGGCATACCGAACTGCCTACAAAGCTCCAATCGGTATGTCCCCTTATAGGCTTGTGTTTGGCAAAGCGTGTCATCTTCCCGTAGAGCTAGAATACAAGTCATATTGGGCGGTGAAAGAATTCAACCTCAATCTTGACGAGGCCAGTATACATAGGAAGCTACAATTGCAAGAACTTGAGGAACTTCGTCTGGACTCCTATGAGAACGCCGAAATCTACAAAAGAAAAATGAAGGAGTGGCATGATAAAATGATCATAAGGAAGGACTTTAAACACGATGACAAAGTCCTCTTATTTCAATCACGCCTTCGTTTATTTCCGGGCAAGCTGAGATCCCGTTGGACTGGACCATACAAAGTGGTCAAAACATATCCACACGGGGCGGTGGAAATTCAAGACCTGGATACGGGAGAGGAGCTCGAGGTAAATGGACAAAGATTAAAACCCTTCTTTGAGGGTTTTGAACCCAAAAACGTGGAAGTCATAGACCTTTCTGAACCGATCTATGAATAAGGAGCATCGAAGATATCGTCGAGCCACGACGTTAAACAAAGTGTGCTTCATGGGAGGCAACCCATTTCAGGTATGTTTTCTAGTATTATTTTCATAGAGTGTGTGTGTAAAAAAAAATCTCACACACCCGATCGGGTGAGGATACATACCCGGTCAGGTATGCATAGATCTTCAACTCTGGAGGCCACTGCCAAAATTTCCCGCCCGGGTATGCCTAAACCCGCGGTCGGGTAAGACCTTCAAAACTAAGCACAAAACTCACATACCCGATTGGGTGAGGGAATGTACCCGGTCGGGTATGCGTAAAAAAGAGAACCTTGAGGCTATTGCCTAAATCTCCCGACCGGGTACACCCATACCCGCGATCGGGTAAACGCTTCGAAAAAAGCACAAAACTCGAGTACCCGACCGGGTTTGATGGGGTACCCGATCGGGTACTCGACCGATTCTTAACCCCAAACCTCCCCAAACCACTTCATCTTCCCCACTTATCTCAAAACATTTGAACCCCCTCTCTCTACAACCCCATTTTCCAACCTCAAACCTTCAATTACTCCATCCATACTCTACCAAATCCATCCATTCCACCACCAAAATCAGCCCCTCATCCTCCTCTTCAACCTCATACCAACAAATCTCTTTTTCTCCCCCAAAATCCCCAAAACCCAAAACCCTACCCTCTCCTCCATAAACTTCGATTTTTGGATCTAAAATGGCTCCAAAAAGGCCACAATGTGAAAGCTCTTCCTCCACGGCTCCTATTCCGGGCTTTGAGGACGTCATCCTCACAAATGGCTCACAACGGGCAAAGTTCCTCAAGCATGTTAATCGGCAAGTTCATCCCTCCCGTTTTATGTGCCATGAAACTCTCCGTGCTTTGAATTTGTTTGTGATTATGGAAGAATTGTTCAACAAATTGCATATGGGTCTCATTTTTGGTTTGAAATATAACTCAAATGAGCGCATTATCTTTGAATTCATGAGTTCGGCTAAGTTGGTTGAGAATGAGGGATGATTTAAGGGAAAGCAAAATCACGTTTAGGTTGTTCAATAAAAAACATACCATCACTAAACGTGAATTTGCCGCACATTTTGGTCTTCCCGCCCCTTTGAATGAAAGAGTTTCCGAAAATACCGTTTATGGCCACGATTTGTGGATGAAATTGACTGGAGAAACTACTGTTGATTCGGGAAAACTGACCGTTAGTCACGTTCAACACCCGATTTTCCGAATCTTCTTGAAATTTTTGGCCAATTGTTTGTTTGGACGCCCGAATAACCACCATGTGAGGATGGGAGATGTTTGTATCCTCACAAATGCTTTGTATTACCATGCCGAGTATTTTAACATTTGTAGCATGATGTGGGCACAGTTACTCAAAGAGTGCAAAGCTGGTGGATTTTTTTTTTTTTTGTGGGGGAGTAATCATGCATCTAGCAACAAAATTCGGGTATACGGATAACTCACCTATACCCGATTTTTGTTTAATGAGCCTAAATTTCCTAAGTAGTGCACAATGTCTTTCCAACTCTCACTACAACGAAGAAGGACGACAATTCTACAAATGGCACATCCATCCGAAACCCCTTAGGTATTTCCCCATCCCCTCCTCCGAACTACCTACGTTTTTGTACAACAAACCGCGCAACCATATCACCCACTACCTACTCCTCAATGTCATCCCACCTCACCTCCAAGAACAACCCAACCAACCGGATCAACCGAACCCACCCTTGAACCAACAAAATGCCCCACCACATATTCCCAACCAACCTCAAAACCCACCCCCAACCGACTACTTCCAACAACTCCTTGCCGGGTTCCAAACTATGAGCACAGACTTTAACACGATGGGGGGGGGGGGGGGGGGAATTTGACCAACTCAGAGAAGAAGTCGGTCAATACCGGGAAGAACAAAAAGCGGGTTTTCAACGGTTGGAGGAACAAAGGGAAGCCGACAACCGAAGATATGAAGAAGATTATCGACGGATGTATGGGCCTACTTACTCCTACATGGCCCATCATGGCGGTTATGCATCCATGGCTACACCTCCTCCACCACCCTCTTGGTATGACCCCTCTCATTGGGGTACATTTGGAGCATCCGGCTCCGGTGGTGGGGGCTTTGACGACGGTACGGGTGGTGAAACTACGATGGGCGAGGGAGGCATGGAGGGAGGCATGGGTGGAGGATTCGGCGGCAGCTATTACGGCGGAGAAGGAGGGCACTAGGGACCGTGCCTTGAACAAGAAGGGGGGGAAGGACTTCTCATTGGTATGTAACTTTCCCTTTTTGGAAATTTCACTTTGTACTACGCATACTTATATTTTCTTATAAAAAAAAATGAATTAAAAGAAAAAGAAATGCTAGTTAGGTTGAAAACCCAAAAACGGGCAATCTAAGCAAAAAAAGGCTTTAAAAAGAAATGAGTGAGTGGAAAGGATTAAAAATACAAAGAGATGCTAGGATGAAAACCTGAAAAGGCTCATAGGCAAAATGAGAGATATGAGAGATATATTTGTTTTTGCAGGACATCATTTTGATCTCTTGAAGATACAAAGAGGGGGAGGAAAAAGCAAGAAGCATAGAAGGTCATGAAACCCAATAGAACACTTTTTCTTTGAGCTAGATACTCAATGTAAAATTCATGTTTATCCTTGGTGGCCTTTTGCTTTCACTTATTGATTATGAACTTTTTGGAGGACTTGAAACTTTTGAACATTTGACTTTACTCGAGGACGAATAAAGAGACTAAGTACGGGGGAGTTGATTTGTGTGTAATTTCCGTTTGTATTTGTACTTTTTTAATTAGTTTTGTGATTCACTAGCTTGGAAATTACACACTTTTGGTGTAATGTTTTGTTTTATTTAAATTGGTGTAAATTGTTTAGATTATGATTATTCTGAGCATAGTACAGGTTGAAAGCACTCAAAGGATCAAGAAATGGATCCCAAAGACCAAAAGGTGTGCAAGGGAAAAAGATCAAAAATTGATTTGGGAAAAAGTTCATGTACCCGGTCGGGTATATGCTATACCCGATCGGGTATTGACCCGATTTCGTTGTCCAAATCAAATCCTGGAAACAAAGGATCATGGGAAGCAATATATTTGAAAGATCCGGTCTCATACCCGATCGGGTAGACCGACACACCCGGTCGGGTATGAGATGACGTTTTCTCATTTCTCGGAACCAGCTGAGTACCCGATCGAGTACCCCAAACACCCGGTCGGGTACATGATCCTGCCACCTTCATTTCCCTATAAGTACACCCCTTTTCCTTCACATTAAGGCATCCCTTCTTCCATATACTTAAGCTCAGTTTAGAATAGTTATTTCTTATATTTTTATAGCATGTTTAGTCTCCAAATGAGGAGCTAAACTTCCATTTCTTGGTTTTGCTCTTGAAGCTTGTTGATTATTAAAGTTGTGAGTTATTTTCTTACTTTCTTCTTGATTATTAATTCTTCCCTTAATCTCATTCTATATTAATGTTGGAGGGTTGCTAAGTGACGATTAGTTAACGTTCCAACATTAATTATTACTAGAAACAATCAATGAACCGATGGTTAATCGTTGATGGTTTCACAAACAAGTAACTTCGGTTTATTAATGCACGGTCGTGGTTAATAAACTTAAGATGGATTAATTTTGTTGGTTAAACCGAAACCGTTGTGTTGAGGTTATCAATCTCAATTGATTTCATCAAGGAGTTAAAGAGGTTAAATGCTACTATTATATCGGTATACGGCGTTGTTCTATATTTGATTAATAGTAAGGGTTATTAATGAACGGTCGTTGTTAATAACTACCCTCGATGAATTGGAGATACTCCGCAATTGAGTATTCGAGAGGGGATAAGTTATAGATATAACAATGATCGACTAAAATATATCAACAAGTGGAAAGTAGCAAGACCAAGTTCCTTTTATTCTTGAATTTAATCCCATATAAGTCGTTCATCTTTGTGTTTAATTTAATTAGATCACTCAATCAAAACCCCCCATTTATTTACTAGTTACATAAAAAGATAATTATTCCTTTCCCTGTGGATACGAACTCTACTTCACCTATACTACGTATAAGTGTTAGTATCGAATTTATTTTGACGCACCGTGACAAAGTGCCCGTCATTGGTCGTTGATAGACAATAATAGCCTTTCCTTTATCTTTGCCAGGCTCTTTGTGTAAATTCGTTGTATTCATTTATGTCCCATTCCCCTGATTCCCAAGTGTAATAGCTTTATTATTGTTCTCCTGGATAGCTTTAGCAATTCTTTTAGGACCAGAGTAAGCATTTAGGTCGTTAACAGGTCCAATTAGAAACCTGTTTGTCATTCCCTTGGTTATGACTCTTTGCTCCTTGTAAAGAACCTCCCTTCTTAGGGCATTTAATAGCTTCATGACCCAAATGAAAGCAAGATAAACAATATATTGGCCTAACCTCACAAATAAAAGGTTGTGAAAAACTTGTTTTCCCAGTCTGAATCCAGGCCTTATTTGGCATAGGCTTAAATAGATCAAGCTCAACGCAAAGTAGTGGTAGCAATATCTAGCTTTAGAGGTTTACCTATTAGACCCGTGATTACAAACATCGCTCGCTTATCATGCAAATGAATTGGCAACCCTTCGAGCGTTAACCAAACTGAAACCACATGGGATTTCACATTTGGTCTAAAATCGATAGACCATTTGTTGACCCGCAGAATGTTGCCGTGAATGTCCCACATTTGTCTGTTCCAACAATGCAAGTAATCCTCTTCCATATCGAACTGAATCAGCACATGTTTTTTTCCCAATAAACCCAACTGGAACCCCCCCTTAAAACCAATAATCTCCAACGATCTAAGTAGTGTAGACATAGTAGGTCTTCCTTTAAAGAAATACTCCACAAGTGAACGCTTATGCTTATCTGCCATAATTTGAATGTCTTCTTCTGAAAACATCACAAAAGGCATTCCTTTGAATCTCGACTGAGCCGTAGAAGAAAGAGTTGTGTCGGCTTTATCAAGAAGAACTGAAACAAAAGAGCGCGTTTTATCCTTCCATACATTCCCAATAGGAGGTGGATCCGCCAGTGGTGGCGCATTCCCAATTCTGACTCTACTTTTCTCAAAGGTCATCATTCTTATGGATTCGTTTATGACGGTACCAATGGCCCGCCTTCCTCCCGAACCTCCGTCATTGTTTGGAATGGTGATTTTGTATTTGATTCACACGGATGTGCCTCAGTTGCAAATGAATGTCGTTGTCACTCAGATAAATGGGGCAGATATACAAGTCTAAGGCTGCCTGCAACCCGAGGGGTGAAAAGCTAAATTAGATGTATTCCCCCCAAAAAACACTCCAACCCTATGTATTTGGAGAGGCTAAAGTGGTTACATGACACCCATGGTGGTGGAATTTGGCACCCTACTTTCACTCCTTTGCCTTGCTGGAACAAAGAGCCGGTAGAAAAAAAGATGAGGTGATGCCGTGATGGGAAGAGATGGTGCGGACTCCAAGAAAAAAAACAAAATCTCATTTTTATTAAAAGATTTATAATTTTTTTATTTGTAAATAATTTTTTACAAAATATATATCAAAATTCTTTAAAAAAAATTATCTTTCATATGACACCTGATGGATTATATGGACTCCGACCCCCCGGTATGCCGACTACTAGGCCTGGACAGCGGCCCACACACGTTTAGCAGATATCATTAATATTATTGTACATTATTATTATTATTCAGATGTTCTAGATTAGCTTTTTATACTATCAGTCCATTTATGTAACCGGGTCTGTCAGGCCCATATTAGAGGCCCAAACCCGGATTTTCAGTATATATACTCCTTATAGGAGGCTTGCAACTCATATAACCAATATTCATTCATTCTATACACTTTCATTATTTATTCTCCATTCTTGTTCAATCTCTCCTGTTTATACAATATGGGTATCAATTATCCAACAATGGTGCTCTCGTTGAGAGGTTCAACACAATCAAGTGAGAAAACCTCCCCAAATTACCCAAAAAATTTACCCAAACCACAAAGAATCAGCAAGAAACTGTTCTGGAAAATAAAAGAAAAAAAGAAAAATGCCAGCAAGAACGGATCAGAAACGAAGAATCTGACATTTCCCAAATTTCTGCTGCAGCAGCCGGAGCTGACGACCGCGCCGCCTCCGTGCATCATTAGCTGAGACTCGCTGCTTGTAGGAAGTCACCTACTCCCATCCCAGACCTGACCGGAGATGTCATCACCGCTCCGGCCGCCGTCACGCGCCATAGCAGAAGTTTTCCGCCCGCTGGAGCTCGCCACCCATTTCCAGATCTTGGTCGCCGCCGTCCATAGTAAGCTGAAGCTGGTCCGCCGCCGCTACTGGATCTCGCCGCTGCAGAGCCGTTGCTTGCAGATATATTCTTCCGCTTCTGTTACAGAGCCACCGAACGACGCTCGAAGCCTGCCTCCTCTCCTCAACCACCGCAGTCACAGCTCTGGAACAAGTCTCTCAGAGCACCCAGTCACGCTCTACCAGTTCGTCAAAGACTCAAGGTTGCCTTTGAGATCTGGCCGATTGGAGACCCCGCCATTGCCGCCATTAATGGCGCTCTGAAGCTCGTGGGGACAACCGGCGACACCACCCGCGAGGTCCCCTGTCAGACCAGAAACCGAGACCCACAAGACAGCGGCGAGGTACGAACTTCTGGTACGGAATCCGCCACCTCCACCACTGTGTCAAGCCCCGTTTCAGCTTCCCGGCGGCTGAGAGCATCTCCGGTTGATTGAAGATTCGTTTATTTTTTATCCGCTTCCTCTGCGGCTCCGCATCTCCTAGGTCTTGAAGGGCTGGCTGCAAATGCATCTAACTTGGACAATTGGGCCTCTAACATGGAGTCAAAAATCTGTACGGACCAAGACTTCATCAAGCCCAAGATTGACTCTCATTAATAATAAAGGGCCGGATCATTTTGTTGGGCAAGTTCTTTCAAAGGACTAGATTTCAACACATGAAGTATTTGGCCCAGCCCACTTCAAAAAGATGAGTATTCTTTAATTTTCTATTATTTATATTTATTTAAATAATTTCTTTTATCTGTTAGATGTCACACTATCACGCACTTATGATCAAATACCTAGTAGAGTGTGGCTTGAGACCCATCACTAGGATTTAAAGCCCTGACTCCTCAGGCACAAAGCCCTGTCTCCTCAGGCACAAAGCCCTGTCTCCTCAGGCACAAAGCCCCGACCAAGTCGGGCATGAAGACAAAACCCCGACCAAGTCGGGTACGAAGACCGGTCTTAGTCATTCCTCGAGTGGCGACCGTTGCTTACGAAGGGCTCACACATCCATTCTACTAAGTATTTTATCATTACATTAACAATTCACATCTCCACTTGTTTCAAGTGACGAACTCCCGATCGGGAACATAAATCCCAAGAAATTTTTTTTATATGTATGATAAATGTGTAGGTACGAAGATGACTTTACTCATTTTCACCTCGTCTCCACTCGCCTCAAAGAGTGGGGACTGGGGGACTGAGGGGTCAGAGTTTCTAGATGAGCAGAAAACACCACGCAAGAGCAGGAACGAGAGCTGAGTCAGTTGAAGAGGAGCTGAGCTAGATTGATTATGCCGGAGGGGATTTACCTTCCTTGTTTCATGTTGGGGGCGTTAGGTGTACTCTTTTTCCCTTTATTAGGATTTTTTCCCGATGGGTTTTTCCTAGCAAAGGTTTTTAACGAGGCACC